GAGGACACATTTAGAGAATTACAAGAGATTATCTTCCACCTTCTCTTTTTCTTGCACTTGAGTTCGCACATCCGTTTCCTGGCTCTGCTGAAACTGGACAGACAATGGGCGGAGCAATAGGCGAAGTCAGAGCCTAGCGCTTGGAAGGTGTTAGGCTCCTCCAGGATGCCTAATTACTAGCTCCATGGAGAAGCCGCGAGGCTTTGGGAACTCCTGCTACGCCGCCACTCAATAAAAATGGAACTTCTCCTAACTTAATTGTTTATTTGTCATTATCGTAGCATTTCGTCATCAGCTGTATTTTGAAATAGTTGATTAGCGTAAACGATAATACTAATTTACAATTTCTCATTTGAAACTGCTATCTGCTAGCTCGAAAGCTCCAGCCAACTATCTGAATTTTGAATATTTGTAGGTAAATATTGCCTTGGGAGTTTCGTTCTCTGGCTTCTCGTTGAATGTCTTACTCACTCGATCATTTGAATGCCTTAACCCGATTTAGGACTATTCACATGTTCTTCTTTGTTGCGGCGCTTACCGGATGGGAAAATAGACGTATTCGATGCTGCTCCTGTACCTTACGGTCTCGTACGTTATGGTGTTGCACCGGATCATCAAGATGTAGGTGTTTTGTAGTCGCATTGATTCTGCTTCTAAACTTTTACTTTTTAGGTAAAAAATTGCATTAATATATTTGACAGGATGTTCGAGAGCAACAAAGATCGAATTGCATTGTTTTGCAATGTCAAGTATGTTTTGCTAAGGCCCTTCTGAAGACGAATTGTTTTTGAACAAGTTTGTAGGATAGGATCTGATCTAACAATGAACGAGTTGACAAGGCATTACGATGCTGTGCTGCTTGCTTATGGCGCTCATCGACCTCGTAAACTCAACGTCCCAGGAGCCGACTCAACTAATGTCTTTTCAGGATCGGATTTCGTTTCTTGGTATAATGGAGTCCCCAATGCCAAGGTTTCTGTCAGTCCTAATTATGTCCTCTTAATCGTAGAATTTTCAAAGCCTTGCTTTGTAAGTATCGTTTCTCTCAATTCGTAAGTTACCAGTTTCTTAGGAGCCGTTACTGGATGACCCAAATGTAATCATTGTTGGTAATGGAAATGTGGCCCTGGACTGCGCACGAGTGCTATCAACAGCAAAATGGCTTCGAACTACAGATGTTCCTGAAGATGTGATTACGGTACTGGAGCAATCTAAAGTCAAAAACATCAAGATAATTGGCAGACGAGGTCCTCAAGATGTAAGCGGGATCTTTTCATGTTTTCCACAATCCCGGAGCTAGCGAGACCTTGACAGGCAAAAGG